TAAGGGAAATTACCAATGACTGTCGACAACGAAAATCCCGATTGGTCGAAATTCTTAAGTCTCAAGTCTTACTGCTTACGTTTGTTGGTGTGTTTCCAGCTTTAGGCTAATATTACATTTGTCGTACGACAAATGTAATATTAGCCTAAAGCTGGAAACACACCAAGAAACGTAAGCAGTAAGACTTGAGACTTAAGAATTTCGACCAATCGGGATTTTCGTTGTCGACAGTCATTGGTAATTTCCCTTAAGTCTTAACTCACACAGCAAAGTATCCCTTTTTATCTCTAGCCTCCCTAGTTTATATACTTTTTACAGAATTTCAACCGCACGACAAATGTAATACCAGCCTTAAGCCCGTATCAGACTACGGATTGAGATTGAGATTAGATTGAAATTTGACCAATCACAGTGAAGTTTACTAATATCAAGTTTAGTAACTTGTACTCTAATTGGTCAAATTCCAATCTAATCTCAATTTCAATCCGTAGTCTGTTACGGGCTTTACCCATTCGTCAAAATGTGGATATTGGCTACATAATTCATGTCCCGGTTTTCCAACGTCCACAGAGATCGTATCGCACATATCTGGCTGTGGCAGAGCTCTCGCTCTCAGGCCTTCTCTCTGCGCTACTAGTTTGCCGTGTAGGGAAAAAAGGTAGCCACGTTTGCCGCCCTGGCGAACGCGATTCGTTGGCGACACTGGATTCACTCCGGTCTCCTCGCGTCTGCTTGCGTTTACAGTGCACCCTTAACGATGACGAATGTTTTCTTTTCGCTCCGCGCGTACTGCAAAATCATTTTACACGCAGCCAAATACCCGCATTGTGCAATAAATGGCCTGCTGCTCGGCAAACAAAAGAACAAGGACGGCCGGACGGATCTGTACATCGAGGATGCGATACCTTTATTCCATATATGCCTACACGTTTCCCCAATGGCGGAGATAGCGCTTACTTTGGTAAATATTCGACGAACAAGGTGTCGGCTCGCCGTCGCGAGCGAAACGCTTCCCGAAGTTCGCGTCGCGCCTTCCGTCGAGCGCGTAATCGGGGCACGTGCGAAAATCCAGCTGCGTGACGTGTCGATAACCTAACCTATGCCGCAAGGCCGAGACGTCACGGCGATCCTTTTTTCTCCATTGCACAACTTTCCGCTCGAAATGCTAGAATAATGGTGTCCCGTAACGTTGATTTAATCTTGCAACAGGTGGACCAGTTAGCTACAAGCAAAGGCCTTATACTGGCGGGTTACTACCTGGCCAACGAGAACATAAATGACTTGAGGTACCTTGACTTTCCTTTAATATTACTTTCGTTTAACGTTCCTCCCCTTTAACGTTGTATCGAATGCAGCACAGACAGACCGGCTCACAGAGTAGCAGACAAGATCGCAGAGAACTTTAACAATGCACTGCTGGTAGTGGTAAGTTTGTCAGTCGTCGGGTCAGAACATTTTACCTTCTTATAACGAATTCGGTTGCTTGCGCTAGTGCGCGCTGTGAGTGCATACTGAGGCTTATTGGTACTCAATATATTCTTATACTTTGTCTTAAATACACATCTAAAGAGTATTAAGCCAAAAAGTGATTTGTACAGATGCTGTACAGATCATTTTACTGGGTAAAAAGTCTTTCGCGAGGTATTTAAGATGACCTTTAAATATAAGAATCGAATGTAAACGAGCCTGAGTGCGCACTGAGTGTACACTGTTGCAAACGTCATTTGGATTCTTTGCTGTTATCAGGTGGATAATCGAGAACTGACCCTGGGCATGGAATCGAGTCCGTTGAGAATTTCGCAATCCGTAGAGGGAAAGTGGAAGCCAAAGGATAAGGCAAAGTAATTATACATTTTCAAGATCGTACGGAAAAGTCGCGTCGATCTCCTCGGAAGATCGACTTGACCGAGTTCTCTCGCACGGACGTTACACGTTGCTCTTCTCGTTGCAGCATAATTTATGATATTGCACACACGGACGCAATGTATTCGTTACTGAAGGCAGAGGAGTATAGGAATCTGATCGACTTCGACAACCATCTGGATAACATCACTCTTGACTGGCAAAATCTGAAACTAAATGAAATAATCGACGAGGCTGTCGACAAACCCACATAAGAGATGACGATGCAAACCATTCCAATACGTAACACACAGACACATATACACACACAGAGATCATACAAAGATTGTTTTATTTATATGTTATGTTGCACTCTATCTATATTTCATTCACTATATGCAAAGTAAACAAATGTACATACGCTATAGAATTTATAAATGAATATCACCTGTTTTTAAAAAGGTCTCGTCAGAGTTTTACTCTTGTCTATTCCCCTGCAATCTCGGGGTCAATTCTGTATCTTGCGGTATAGCAAAAATGAAGTGAGCGGCTTTGTCACTTATACCGTAAATTTTTAGTGCTTGGAGTGAATTTTTGAACGCAGGAATTGCCAATACATATAGACAGGCACACGGCGTCTCGCGACGTCTTTGTATGCATGGCTAATTTTAAGGAAGGCAAGTTAAAAGTTACCGATAAAGTATAACTAAATCAAGTTAAAAGTCTCAACAATTTATACTGTAACTAACTTAAGTTAAAATTGTTTATCTTTTTAACTGGACCCCACCCTGACTCTATGTATTATATACTGTACATTCTTCTGAAAAGTATAACTTTGTAAAAAATCCCCGAGAGCCAAAACCCGATTTTGAGAATCGTACGAACGACAAGCTTCAACTGAATGCGAAAATAACGGCTCGTGTTGCGGGAGAGGTTTGAAATGAAAACGTGTGTGTGTACACGTCGATTTACAGCTCTACAAAAACATTATTTACCGACCGGTTAAGCAGGCAGGCTGAGGGAGAGGGAGCTTCAGTGTAAATAGAGTTTCCTCGGGTCAGTTTAATTCCACATTTCTCCCCGTCTTCATTCGACTCTCAACCGGCGAGGGAAGCTCTATTGCTACCATTTGCGCGTGAAATATTGTTTTGTCGCAATTGTTACGGCTGTTATCGAGACAGTCCGGTCGTGCGAACTTAACCTCAGCTTGGCAACGTCTTCCATTCGTAAAGAAACCAAGGTATGCGATAAGTTGTTCAGATACAGACAGTCATTCCCTTCGCAGACAGCAACGCGATATTTTAAACGTAATTGGGAAATGGGGGGGCAAATTATTTCTGCATTTGTGTACTTTTTGAAAAGATGAGTCCAAGTTGTGTTCTAACTCATATAAATTATATGAGTATCTATAAGTCTGCAATTTATTTCAAACTGTCGAATTTGTTAAAAACAACTTTGCTCACTTTAGGCGACTTTTGGCGACTGTTTGGTACCAAAGTATACCAGAGCGTACACTCAGCGTCGCGAATGCCTTTACACCCGAAGAAAGATGCTAAAAAAGTATCCGATGGGAAAGTTTATTTTAATAAAATGAATTTTTCTATCGGAATATATCGAACTTAACGGCTATTTTCAGGTGTAAAGGCATTCGTGACGTCGAGTGTATACCCTGGTAGGTACACTTTGGTATGTACACACACTAGGAATCACTGATGCCTTCCCACGTGAATTTAGGCATGTATCAACACACTTATACGTTTTGCCTCTTTCGAAGTCTCACAGGTCGACGATTTCACCATCTAAAGCGAGTAGTATATTGAAATATGAACTAGAACGGTTACTATGTGCGCCACATATAACGCGCCGCAACATAAACAAATGTGTAATATTTAGCATGGTGTTCACATTATTTTGTCCGCTCCCAGTAAATACATGAAATGTGCACGTGTTCCACACGTGCCTAAATTCATATGGGAAGGCATCAGCGATTCCTAGTGTATCACCAAAAATCGCTTCTTGTACACACTCATTCGTGCCCTTGTATCTCTTATTGTATGCAGGGTCCACGGATAATGGAACATCGGTGTAATTGTGGCAGTCTACACGATACGGCGGAATTAGGAGTCAGCTATAATTTATACGAGAAAATAGATAAAGACAGAGTGGAGTGCCTGAACGAGCACGAGGAGGGCTGTGGCGCCGGAGTCTTCAAAACGTGGGAAGAGAGATTGGACAGATCACAGGTGAGTCACATTTCTATCTCACAAATATCAAGTGTACCGGAATATTTCTTACGAAGCTTTTGCACAAAATCTCTTCTCCGTTTCATTTCAGTACGTCGAAAGCGATGTCGATGCCGAGCTTCTGTTCAACATACCGTGAGTATCCTGACAATTTTTTTTTTCTTGATAAAAGTGCATCAGTCGTTACAGCTCGACTTTTTCCTCTGCAGTTTCACGGGAGATGTAAAGTTAAAGGGCCTTATTGTGGTTGGAGATGAAGATGCTCTCCCCAAAACGGTGAAGCTGTGAGTACAATTAAACTTTGTCGAGAAAGGAGCACGCGTTGACATTCTAGATGTAAGAAATAATACGTTTTAATAAACTTGTTTAAGATATAAAAACCGACCGCACATGCTGTTCGATCACGTGGGCACCAGCCCAGAGCAGGAATTTGATTTAATTACCGATTCGTATGGAATACACGAATATCCCATAAGGTAAATTGTACATCTGTCTCTGTATTTTTAGATTTAAGAATTTATATAGAAATTCGTGCGAGATGTTAAAAATGTAAAAGTAAGATGCCATAAAAATTATCACAGAACAGTCAAGTTTTCGTCAGTGCAGCATTTAAGCCTCTACTTCACTGGCGACGGCAACGCAGAAGAAATAAAAATTTATTACATCGGTCTGAAGGGAGAGTGGACGCCGGCTCACAAACACGGTGTGACTATCTGTACGTACGAAGCACGTCCCCTAATCAGCGATCATCCAACGGATTTCAACGAAGTCGGTAGGGTAATTAAATGATATCCGGATTAAAAGCCGTTTGTGAGACTCTGGTTTGGAAGGCAGGAAGCGAAGACCGAGGACACGGTTTTGTAAAATAATGTACGCTATATTCTATCGCGAAGATTCGACGTATGTTTTCGAATAAAAATCCTGTAATAATAAGAAATTTTGGTAACAGCTTTATTTCAATTACACTTATATGTTCGTAGTCTTACTGGAATTATTTTCTATGATAAGATGTACAGTAGAGAACCTTACTTACTTAACAAGTATATTGTACATCATTTCCATCACATTACACCGTTAGTGAGCTCCCTGGCATGGTACACGGTTTAGACTTATCGACTTTAGAATATGAAAACATTATATCTTACGTCTGGAACTTGATCTTTCCTACGTCCATTTCTGAGAATTGCATATCTAAGTGAAAGTCAATAATTTGAAATAACTCAAGCGGCTGCGGTATCCTGCCGGTTTCGAGCTTCGACCAGACAGGAACATCTGAAAATGCATTTGGACCATGTTTTCTCGCTCGATGCCCGTGCTAGACGGGACGTATATCTGCACTTACCATTGAAATGTATCTCGAATGCACCCGACGAGACCAACTGACCCTCTATGGCGTTACCGATCAGGAAAATCAATATACAGGAATAAAAGCGATTGTTCACACACCACTGCCACACCGACGTCAGTGGCAGACCAAAGTTGATCCCGGTCACGACTAGGATGATTATCAGTATCTTCAGTGTTCCCTGCAATGCAAATTTACGCGTGAACGGGACGCAGACACCACGGTGAAGTATGTGCAGGGTGATAAATGTAATTACCAGCACTTTGGCGATTAGCATGTTATAACCGGGTGGATTAAAGTTCTCGCCCTCGACGTGGAGCTCCGGATACTTCTGCTTAAGAATGCTCACATACTGCTCGAAGGCTTTCCTATAGCCGCACGAGTAGCTGCAACAGAGAACGACAATTTCCATCTTTGTTTAACGACAAGTCCAAAGTCCCGACGATAAAAGCTCGCGCTTTCTCTCTCTCTCTCCCTCGCTCGCCCGCTCGCTTTAGATTTATGTGAGAAACCAGACAAGTGTCTCGTTTGAGCGCGCGTGCGATTTAATCGGCGGACGATCGTTGCGCGTCCATTATCTTATAGGACGGACGCATTCGGTCGCGAAGATCAACATATCGAGGGGGAGGATTCGTTAAGGCTTACCAGTAGAAGAACCTCAGGGTCGGCCCGGTTTTTGCGCCGAGCTTGGTTAACGGCGCCTCGTCGCTGTTCGCGTCTATGCTGTGCGCCAGCAGGACCGCGAGGACACACAGGCGTATTAACCAGTGCATGTTTATCCCGTCTTTATCAGTTCATTGAATAAGAGACCCGGCCCTCACGGCGTCCACGCGACGACCACACGCAACTAAACGCATCGAATCACTGCATGCTCTCTCTCGGCCTGGAATGTCCTCCTTCTCTCTCGCTCTTACTCCGATGCGCGCGCGCGGGGGGATACGTGCCTCTTTTGTGCGAGGATCGAAACTTGTTATCGCGCGGGGGCCTTCAATTTCCCAATCGTTGACCGCGAGACGCCGCCGTCACGACCGATTCCGTTTCCAACTCAACCGGTCGCGCAGTCGAGCAGCGGATTTTCGTCGCGAACAAAAGTGCGAGTCAGCCTCATTCTGACAGGTTGCCTCGCGCGCATGCGTCGCGCGCGGCGACGCGGCCAGCAGGCGGCGAAGCGCCATTGGTTGCAATACGAACAGACCTATGATTATACACGAGATAGGCTCGCTGCATCATCTTGTCATTGCAAGATCGATGCTTGAAAACTCGCAGCCTGATTGGCCGCTGCTGTCACGTTTGAAAGTTGCAACCGTTGCGAATCTAGTTGACGTTCAGTTGTTGGACGCGGAGCAAACGTCGGTCGGCCGCGAGAATCCGCTCCGTGTTTCCGTCGATTTCGGCTCGCCAAGAGGGCGAGCCCCGTGTCCGGGGTGTCGTGAGTAAGTGGCGCGTTCGCAGGCTCGTTTGTGGCGTTCAAGCAGCCGCCGGGAGAAGCGTGCCGGGAAATCTCGGTCGTCGTGAGTGAGCCGTAGTCGCGAATCGGCCATTCCGCGGCCGCTCGGAAGTTCGGTTGTCGCGTCTCGCGTGCCTCAAACCGCCGAAAAAAGTCGAGAGTGCACCGCGAACGGGAGTGTCGAGTGTCGCGAGCGTGTGTCTCGAGAGTGAATTTCATCCGTCGCGAGTGTTAAGTCGCCGATGCGGCTTGCAGAGTAAAATTGGTGATACTGTGTGTGATATCGTATACAATGCGATATATATGTGATAGTGCATATTCTATTGTGAAGTGTTAAGTGAGTTGTGACCAA